GGAATCCCGTGAAGAAATATGCCCTTATTCTTTTTGAAGGCCACGTACGAAACTGAGTAGAATCTATCCAAATGGAGTTTCAGTAAAAAGACATGCTCGCAGGTTCTGTCTTCTATTTCCTTAGGTCGAGAGAAGAATACCACTTTTTCTACCGAAGGAAGTAGTTGTACAATCTAGCGAATCATGTGGGGTGGAGTCATAAATTATGCAGACCCCCGCAGTACTGGCATTAATAATGGATGTGTCCTTACCATGGAAAAACCCCTAATCTTTTTTTTTTATTTACACCGAAATGCTGCGCCAATATTAACCCGGGTCGCCTTTTCGTCGTAATGCCTGGGTTTCGAAACCCAAAATATCCTCCCTGAATCCTATAGGTCAGGAGACCTGTAAGACCCTATAGGGACCTTATAGGATCCTAAAGGATCCTATAGGTTTTTCGTCTTTCAAAAACCTATAGGAAAGTCTATATGTTTCCTATAATAAATAACTATAGGTGTCCTATAGGACATTTCCGTAAGGGAGACCATCCCGTCCCGCCTAAAATCCAGACGCCCTTTCTGGGGGCGAGAATCCTGCACGACCTGGGGTCGTGCACGGAAGAACGCTGGCGAGAAGCCTGGTCTCGCGTGGACGTGAAAAATAAGAACCTCATAGAAGATCCATTAGCTGAGGTAGCAGGTGTCACACTCCCACGCCGCGAATGGGTATGCACGACCTGGGGTCGTGCACGGAAGAACGCTGGCGAGAAGCCTGGTCTCGCGTGGACGTGAAAAACAAGAACCTCATCGACGATCCATCAGCTGAGGTACCAGGTGTCACACTCCCACGCCGAGAATGGGTGACCTTAAATCGCATCCAGACTCTTCATGGTCGTTCCGGACACATGATATACAAGTGGCGTATTAAACAATCGCCAACGTGCGAATGCGGCACGCCAATCCAAACTATGGAGCACATCATCAACGAGTGCACATTGTACTCATTTCCCGGCAGCATCAAGGATATATACGCAGCATCACTAAAAACTATCGACTGGATTTCAAAGATTAACATCAATTTGTAATAGTCGCTATACCCATACGAAAGAAGAAGATGGCTTACATATTATTAAGGCGTATTTGAGCGGAGGCACAGTCCTACTAATACAGAGGTGAGGCCTGGATGAGTCCCAGGTCCAAAAAGTTGCTCACTTCCCTTCGTCATCATTCACTTTGTTTGTCGTGACATACATGTGGATCGCTTATATTAAAAAGGGAAAGGTCCAATTTCACTAATCAGGTCTCTGCAATCGGATGGAGCTCTGTTTAACACGATCACTGTGGGACCAAAACGCCTACAGATATGCAGTATGCTGCTTGAGTTACCGGTGGCTCGTGCCACAGTGAACGTGTTATTCAGACAATTTCTCAAAAGTTTTCCTACATGCCAAGAAAGCTTTCTATTGGAGAGACAAAATGAGGATTTTTCTTCTTACGCTATTTTCCATAAGCAGGTCCCTCAGAAAGACATGACGCGAACTTATCAATACATTCTTCAACCCTACTGGGCGCTCTCTTTCTAGTATCCCACAATAAGTCAGTATGAGAAACAGGGGCGCAGGAGTTGCCACTACAATATAGATAGAACTTCTCCAAATCGTTCTTGTTCTTTGAACAGTGCGCCGCATAGCACATGAAGTGGAAAAGAAAATCAATTCTTCGTCAGTGAAGCTTCACGAAATATGCATATACAAGAGTAAGTAAAAAAAGCAAAGTGAGTTTTTCCTTAAAGACCACCCCCTGACTCCTGTTCAAACCAAGCTTGGCTTATCGTATTTTCTTGTGTCCCGCACGCAAACGCCAGATTGTCCTTTTTTAGGCTGCGTAAAATGGTGCTGCTTGCAGCAGTCAAACATGGCAGCACCCTTGGAGACTTTCACCTCACAGAACAACGATGTGTGATCAGATTCCTGTTATCTGAAAGCGTAGTGCCTTGTGAAATTGATCGGCGAATGTATAGGTGGTATGGAAGAGGGTGCATGTCGTCCAAAATGTGTCCTGAGTGGCGTAAATGATTAAAAAAGGGACGCACCAGTGCTTGACGAACTACGTGTTGGACGGATTGGAGGGGATAGAACCCTCGTACAGGTACATTATAATCAGAGCTACCTCCGTTAAGGTGGAGGGAAAGTAAAAGGCGATTTCATTCCTCGGATGAGTTTTACTTTCTTCGGCAGCGTATAATTTGGGCAGCAGAAGTGGCGGGCATCCCCGGTGGAGATAGAGTTCACCATGCATTCAATCAAGCGGTATTGATTAGTAAAGGGTTGACTATTGCGAATGTCGTTTTAGTGGGTATCCTTTCCTTTCAGGATAAGAAACCACTTATGGTTCCGCTCTGTCCGTCTGTGTGTCCGTATGTCCGCACTTTGGTTGTCCGACGATAACTAAGAAAATATTGGCCTGATCACTTCGAAAATTAGCAAGCAAGCTGGTATGGAGAAGATACAGGCTGAGTTCGTTTCGTGGCAAATGTTTGCACTAATATTGCCATTTTTATTGCAAATTTTGGATTTGAAATATGGTCTCGGAGGGGAAGGCATTAGTACCCGTGAGCCCTTCAGGATCTGGATCACAATGCGCATGCGCATACGACCCAGGCCTTGGGCGCGGTGCCGTGTCAGCAACTAGAACTATAGAGTAGAGAGCGTAACTAGAGGCGACACTCCTCGAATCCTATTCATTGACAGGATCACAATATAGATGTCGCTGTCGATCCTCCACCTAGCGTGTGCACATCAAAAAGTCCTCCATAGCCGAGCAGCGCACTCAACGAGACACGCGTTTAACGTTGACTTCCTTTGGGTCGAATACCCGAACGAGTCGATTGTCGATTCCGCTACCACGAAGCACGGCCCACGGAAGTGTTGTTGATAACAAGCCACCAGATGTCTCTGTCATCTGGTGGCTTGTTATACGCCTCCTATAATACTGCGACAGACAGACAGTCGGTAAGAACAGTGTGCAAGGGGCGACCACCTCCGCCACGCTCGGACCAGAGGCAGGCTACTTTTAAGTGGCCCACCCTGTAGTAGCGATTGCATCACTGACTGGAAGCTCTTGACGAGATTTCTGATCGCCGGGGCGGGATTAGCGCACCGTTAATAGCAACAAACTTATTCACGGGTTCATAAACTAACGCCTACTTCCAGCCTAACTATTGGTCTTTCGGAAATCAAATGAATGGAAATCGTCTCGTCCGTCTGTCAGTGCTTGTAAACTTCCAATCGAGCAGCCAGGCATCGCTATAGACTTCCGTCAATCGACACAATTTATCAAAACATTTAAACAATTATGAAATCCAGAAATTGCACAAATTATAAACCCAGTCACCTGTGCCCTGGTCGTCCTCTTGCTGCCTTGCCGACGTCACGCGATCGGGCGGAGACGTGCGCGTCACGTTACCTATTCCTCTCGCTTCGGTGCCGAAAACATGGGAGACGGTTGGATGGTTTTCCTCGGTGCACCAAGGCCTAGCAGTACTTCGACTCCTTTGGTTTCGACCGAGGCTAGCGAAGACGAACAGGCCGGTCTCCCTTCGGAAGCGGTCCGGGTCATTAGTGTCCTGGTTTAGGTCGAGAATAGGCTACTCCCACTGGATTGGCATGACTGTCCTGTATGCTTCTTGCAGTTTCCTATGCCAGATTTTGGCAGGGAAAGAGTCGTCGTGAGTCGTGTCATATGTCTCAGATTGTTTACTCACAAATGGACTGGAATCCTCGAGCCATGTACCGCGCGACTAGATTGTGGAGGAATTTCTTCAAGTGATTATTTCCCACTTGATTTTTCTTCTCCGTCTGCTGTGGGCGAAGAACTCATTCCATTTCCATTTGCTCCGGTCCGTCAACGTCTTATAAGCCCTGGCACTGCATAATCAAGATGCATTTTCAAATGAATGCTCAATGCAATCAGTTGTTACACGGGGTGATCGGTCGTTCTCGTAGTTACCTTGAAGAAAGAAGGCATTTATCATTTCATAGGCATGGCATTATTCATTTCATGGAAAAAAATCAGGTTTTACTTCGGGAAGTCGGGGTTGTAACGGCAGAAAATGCTCCATTAAATGAAAGCCTGCCTCGAATGTGGAGCTCGGTGTGTCGAAACTCCATATGTTGTTTTCTGATGCTGATAAATAGTTCTAGGCCACGTGTGCCCCAAGAAAAGTCACACGTGCCCGGAGATAAACGCAATCATATTTAAAGCGAGAACCGCAGAAGCACGAACCGTCATCTCGAATCGGCAAAGTGAAAATGAAGTGGTTCGTCATCCTCGGTCTGCTTGCACCTCGGGCTCTCTCTCAAGGTGAGGCTCCTCGGAGACGGCGTGCAGTGTTGGTAAAAAGGGTCAGGTTTTTGTCCCCTAAAGGGTGTTTCAACTGCAGCTAAAACTCTTTGTGGGTTATATTTTTTTAGCATTTTTGATAGCCTTTTTGATAAATTGAACTGGATTCATATAACCTTCCTAGTATTAATATATATGTAACATATATATTAAGGCCTCTTTCCTTTACATATTAATATATATATAAAGGTAAGAGGCTTTCCTCTAACCCTTTTGAGTGCTCTATTTGTCAGACCCCAATTTCATGAGCCAGTCTTCGGGATGCACAAATTAGAGAATGATTTCAGGGACACTCAATTTCTTTATCCCTATGAAACATCTGAATCTCATAAAGTTTACATTTTTTATGTAAGGGCTCCTGTTTGGGAGGACAAGCGTCTTTTGGTCTAAGATCCAAGAATCTGTCTGGAATATGGGAATAATAAATGAGAATATATCCGCTTTCATTAATACCTAATATGAGGCAAGGCGAGACGCAGGACGATGTGACATAACGCACCTGTGAGGGAGATTCCTGGGAAAGAGATTCCTATTCTATGTACTGTGGGAAACGATAGCTCTAGAATTCCATCTAGTGGTCTGAAGTGGAGCTTTATATAACACAAATAACCCTTGCAAATGGTGTTTCTCGGTCATCAATACCTTTCCTCTCTTTAACCCTGAAAAGGTCCTGAACTGTTCGGTAACATCCAATTACTAGGAAGAACTCTTTCATTGGGGATAAATATGCAGTCCCAAAAAAGATACATATATTATTCGTTGTATCGTGCATGACCCACTCGTGGTTATACGCCTTTCAAAGTGTGAATATCAAACCCTCCAGATCAAAAGGGATTTTTAAAAAGTCAGAAGAGGTTCGATAAACACCTAAATAACCCTTTGAGATAGTGTTGTACCGACATCTAGCCTTTTTTTTTCTAAATAACCCACAAAAAGACATGCCCTGAACCCTTTATGCTAGCAGTTTTTGTGATTCGCACGAAGGCTGCAAGTTTTTTTTGTCCTGGAAAGGAGTCATCGAAAGCCGTTCTCATCGTATCGAGCGTTTCTTTGGCATTATTGGTAGAAATAATGTCATAGATGTAAAACGTCTATTATTAAGCGTTTTGGGCGTGCAGAACTGCCTCATACTATTGGCCGCGCTTTAGAGAAATTGCCACGGATTTGCTAGACAGAAATCGGTAATAGACCGGTAAGTGTCCAGGATTACGCCAAAGCAGCCAAAATCGTCGTTGAAAAGTTGGATTCTCGGGCAAAATCAAAAGGAGAACTTTCCTTACAGCTCTCACATTTAGCATGAGAATTCATATTTCACTTACTCAAATGCTAATTTCCATGCGGTTGTTTTACCGAGTTTCTAATTTAACTTTTGCTTCCTGATTTCCTCTCCGAAACTGATGGAATGGAAGAACATGAAAAATACACTTTTGAAAAGTGGGTTTTAATTCTAATTTTAGACTGCTGCAAGCAAAGCAATGGATATGAAACGGATTTCTCGCCTTGTCATGCTACTCATCAACTACGAACGCAAAACATCTAGGAAATCTTTTGCGAAATTGATGGGCGTCAACTGAAATTCTTCAGACGTGATGAATAGCGGTGCAACTGCACGAGCTACGAATTGGCTTTAATTTGGCGATTTGGCTTTTAGTAAGTAGACAGTACGTTGAGACTCTCCCACGAAAATCACTCATCTTGAGATCTTAACCTTTATTCCGGCCCGAGTTGTAACGACTCTACAGAAAGTAGTGTTCCCGTGAAATCTTGGAAAATACAATTCAATCGCTGCTCTTATTTTCGACTTTCGGACAGCCATCAGCCATCAGCCATCAGCCATCAGCCATCAGTGCAGGAAATCCGGCAAAAAATGCAGTTGCGATCGAGCAAGGTGAACGAGAAATCGGCTTCACATTTTTTATTATTATATGGGAAGATGTATCCAGGTGTTGCAAGGCGCCGGATCTGCATCCTGTTTTTAGATATTTTAGATAGATATCCTGTAACTTTTCACACGCACTTCGTAGGTCTATTTTTGAGAGCGACCACCGCGATTGCCGTGAGAAAACCGGATTGCAGCAGGTGTTGCGCGTGGAGGGAGAGATTGCATCCCTGCTCTCCGTTATCACCTTCCGGGAGATTTCGAATCTTGCTAAATCGTCGCGTTTCCCTCGCCGTTCGATGCCTATTTGGCGGTTCGTCTGGAAGACGACGTGGACTTGCTTGTACGTGCAATATACCGAAAGAGGAAAGACAGAGCAAGCCGTCGCGTGCGACTCACGATTTTCGAGGGAAATTCGCTTCTCGAGTATTTCCATTTTCCCCCGAAGCAACGTTTCTCCTTCCCGTCCTAGGTTTCGAAAGGAGAGTCGGAGTCGTGATGCGTCTATACGTTCCAACTATTCCTAAACCATCTTGGAACATGATATCCTTAATATCCACGTTGGGCCCTCGTTGGCTGTAAATGGGGGAGCGTGAGCTAACATCGCAGTGGGCTGCCAACGTGGGCCCCACATCGGCATCGGTGCGACAGCCAACATTTTTCCTATCTGTGAGCGAGCTTTCCGTCTAGATTGCTCGAAGAAAGAAGGTGCCTACAAATTAAGCGAGATGGCGCCAAAATAGTCGGATATTTCGATGGTACCAGAGAGAGACTTGCTATAAATCCCCATCGCTGTTCATGCAGTATCTCACCTTTTCCCCACGGACGACGATGAGGAAGACACTCGAATTCCTCGATTCCTTAAACAGGTCCAACAATCCAGGGAGATTCCACGAGATCGTGAAGGAAGGATCGTTCTTACTACGTGGTAAGGGCCTGACCCCATCGCATGAGGAGAATTTCTAAGTCGGATTTCAGTGATTCTGTTAGAAGGCCACACGAAGGGCAGTGCGACTTCGTAACGATGTGGTTCGTGTTGGCTCAACTCGGCGCATTGCGACGAGCCTGCAAGGTTCCAACGTGGGGGTCCACATCGCTCACGCGTGCTGCGGGGGTTTTAAACTCCCCGCTCACAATATCTTCAGGCCGATTTAATTCTTTTCCTCGAAAAATACGAATAAAAAGGCACGTAAAGCACAGGTAACGGCGAAGGTTTTTCCCGGAAACGATTGCCACGACGCCACTTCCTGCATATCCTCTTTCTTCGTGAGCGGCATTTAATCCAGACTACCAAAGCAAGTAATTGCACGCAACGATCGATCGATAACCCTGTGACTCCCACGCAGTCCCTCCTGGCATGACGAAGCGAAGACGCCATGAATGCGAAGGTCGTGACCTTCAGAGAGAACCCGATTCCCAGAGCCTGCATCTTTTCTCGAGTCAATTAGATAAGATCTGACGGGTCGTGAGAAAACTTAAATTCATTTCGCAGCCTCAATAATTGGGATTCGTTGCTGATTAGTCCCGGTCGTTTCTGGAGCAATCTGAATATTATTAATTATTTTAATTGGGAAGCCTTCGTTAGAGGAAGCAGCAGAATCTGTACGAGGGGCTCTTGGAAAATTTCCGGAATAATATTTATTGAATAATGATGAACATTTTCACCCTTTTCGAATTAATCACCGGCATACAATTTGCACTGTGATGTCCTTAACCCATTCGCATCCGTGAAGTTTTCTGGCCTATCAGGCCTTGAATTGTGTTGCCATAGCAAGACGCGCGAGGCCTACAAGCCTATATAGGCCATGGGCCAGGGGGAAGAACGTGGGACGATGCGAGCCAGTACGCGCGTGGATGGGAACGGGTTAAAGAGCATTTTTTGGAAGCGTCGATGCCACTCCGACTCTGTGAGGTCTCCCGCTGCCGCATTCTCGAGTATTCTTTTACGGTGAATTCTCGGTCCCGCGAAAATATGATGAACTCCTGATATAATTGCGATCTGTGGTGAAAAAAAAAGGTTGCGGCGGGAACCCCCGGATCGTGACCAGGGAGGAATGGGGAGCCCGACCCCCGAACTCCGAGACCTCCATGTCCACCCCCGTCCCTTTCGTCATCATCCACCACACCGTCACCCCCCATTGCCACAGCATCAGCGACTGCATCCCCTTGGTGCAACTCATGCAGGACCTCCACATGGACACGAACGGATGGGATGACATCGGATACAGGCAAGCCGAAATTAAATCCCCATTAAATTTTGTCTGTCTTCCGAATCGCTTCCGAACTTTCTTAACGACGGCCAGCGACTTCGGTCACGTCCCAAAAGTTCTCAAGTATTTTACAAGTGACAATATCACAGTTTGTTGATGGAAAGTTTCCGAAATGTTGCCAATGTTGCTCTATGTTGCAAGTTGATGAACTACTTTGATGAAACATTTCTTCAACGCTTCTCGCTTTTGAGCACTTGGAAAGTTGCTGAGACGACTCTACGAATGTTACTGCAACATTTGCTATTAATTTTGAGAGAATGTTGACCTTTTTATACTGACAGCGTATCGACAACATTCTGATACAATTTTCACCTAGAAGTTTCAAGGAATCGTACGCAATAACATTTGCAACACTATTAAAACGTTGCCGGAATATTTTGTGTTAAAAGGGTAATATCCCATTAGGAGAGACAAACAGTAGCGAAAGATAGCTTTAAATTTCGCTTAAAATACATTTTGCCGTGAAGAAGACCGTAGCTGAAGCTCGCTGAAAGTAACTGAAGTACCCAACTCTTGTTTCGTCTCTCCTAGCCTGTGATCATTGGCGAGAAAAGGTCTCATACCCTCTTGATGTTATCGATCGATTTCGAATGCAGGAGCTTCGAGTATAGAACCTGGTTACACGTAACGGTAGCCAATACTTACGAATACTCGGGCAGCAATACGAGTTGAAGCGAATAAGTAGTTCGTGTCCAGTTTCCTAGTTGGCGAGGACGGGAACGTGTACGAAGGAAGGGGCTGGGACCGCGTCGGTGCTCACACCCCCGGGTTCAACAGCAGGGGCATCGCCATCTCCGTCATAGGCAACTACATGGGTCAGTCCCTTGTTTCCGTTCGTCTTTTTTTTATTCGGGGCTCCTCTGCATAAAAAAAATGTGCAATTCTTCCATGGTGCTGGGGAGCGACTGGTATACAGGAGACATCAATGGTAAAGTCTGACCGAGGAGGATTCAGCTGTTCGTAGAAACCTGTGGTGCTACTAATTCTTTTCGGGTTTTATTCGCACTCTACCCTGTTGGTTTGGCAAGGTTTTCTACAGCGAAACGAAGGGCTCCGAAACTTCCTGTTTGCGTGAACTAGCTTAACATACTTAATAGGTGTTAAAAGTTGACGCCCACTGACCAAAGCCAAATTTTGAAAGCACGTCACGGTAGTTTCAGGTCACGGATTCCTAAAAGCTATTTTAAAAGTAGTCCAAAAGAAATTACGCTTGACAATCGTCAAATAAAGTCACATATTCCACATGATCTCTCCCCACCCAATGCCTCTTAACTCTTTTTTTTCCATCAGAGGTACTCCCGAATTCCGCAGCCATGAATACGATTGAAGACCTGATCGACTGCGGCATCGGGCTGGGGAAGATCCAAAGCGGCTATTCCTTGATGGGGCACAGGCAGGCCAGCGCCACTCTTTGCCCCGGTGACATGCTCTACGACGAAATCACAACTTGGGATCATTTCGACCCTTCGCCTTCTCGATGATTCCTTTCGTCGTGTGAGAGGAAGAATTCAAGGGATTAAAAGAATTTAAGTCATCGTCGTCTGTTGGCTTCCGCGGCTTACCAGCTCATTTATTATGAATGGTAATACCTGGTATCTTATGTCTCTGACAACGATTTGCACGCAAATTTCCGTCCCTTTTGAGCACAACAGGGAGAGGATTCCAAGATATCGCATTCCTGAACCCCGGTTAAAAAAAAAAATGGTGTCCGGCACGAATATTTCCAGATCCCTTAATTGGTTTGTTTCCAGATCGGCAAAAATTACCCTCTAGGTTTCACTCTTATTTGCAACGGGGCGGAACTACTGTCCGTTCTCGCAAATAAGCAATGTCTTGCAAAAAAAAAATCTCATGGAATTCCTTTGAAGCGAAGAGAGTAAAATGACGGCTGCCTCAAGGTTCTCATCAATTAGTCGAGAAACTAGCTAGAATAGTTGAAATTCCAGCCGAAACAGAGAGGGTTCCACAAGGCCAGCAAGGAGCTGTGAAAAAAAAATTTGATGAAAAAATGACCGCTGATAAAATCAGTGACTCTTCATCTAAAATGATCTAATGGAGAGACTCGGAAGGGAAGACCCAAATAAATTCATCCTTTTGGTGATTTTCAGCGTTAACAATGGTATTTTGCAAACTAGTCATTTTTTAAATTATTTGGTATTTGAAGAATGTTGCAGCCAAGTATTACTACAGTTCAAAATGGAAAATTTGAATATAAAACAGTAATTGTTTCATTCAAGAAAATTAATTCGATTTCAGATTATTTATAAAAATAATACTACTTACAAAGCAAAATTCCCATTTTAACAACTATGAAGGTGAAAATGAATCCAATGAAGTTGTCCATTTTTTCTTTTAATTTCTCTCATTTTCAAGTGCGCATTACATAGTATTTAAAATATATGAGATAACTTTTGTTCTTAAAAATGATTAGAATTAATAAGTATGCATGCTGGATAACAAGGAATTTCCCGCAACTCCATAAAATCGACACGCTTCCAACAATGAAGAAAGCTTCCCGAATGGCCGAAAGAACGCATGGCACCACGTCTCGGCCGCTTTCTTCCATCGACATTCATTTACTAACTGCATGAAAATTATGTTATAACTTGAAGCTCGATCTCGTTTCCGTTCGAACTTCGCAGCCCTTTGCGTCAGGGCAGGGCTTCCCAACCCAGGGGTCGCGAAGATCATATTTGGAGTCGCGAACCGGCAACTAAATGCAAAGTCCTGCTTTTCTTCGCGATTTAGCGCATAGGTGAGAGAGCTTGTCGAACTTCGGCCAGTGCTTGGGGTCGTGAATGGTATGAAACTGATTTTTGGTGTCGCTCGCAAAAAGTTTGGGAAGCCCTGCGTTAGGGTCAAGTTCTGGACCTCAAGACGGATGACAAAAGATAACTCTTTGTGGTTATTAGCGCTATATTCATTGTGGAAGATGTTGATATCCGAGCAGCACAGACACCCACGATTGATTTGAATGATTGAGCAGCCATCTCACGAGTCGCTTCCCCTGCAATCAAGCTCATTCATGAGTGAATATCAGCAACAAAAAACAAAGGATGGAGTTAGTTGTCATAATTAATCCTTTTTTGCGGAGGAGGATATCCGACTTGATTTTCCTATACAATAAATAGGTTTTCAGTATTTTTTTCCGGACCAACCAACGGAATGGTACGAGGTTTGATTCTCATCTTTCGCCCAAGGCGAAGGAATATTCCTGTCCTCCGTGCAGGGTGTGAAAACCCCAACTGGATCAGATTGAGAGTTTCCAAATGGAAATGCCACTGATTCCAAGCGGACATGGGAAGCGGAATATAACCTGGACGTACTTTTCTTCGACACTTTTTACATTTCTTGACACATCATGGCACATGGATGAACATAATAATGAATGGCGAATGGCCTCTTCCAGCAACTGCGAGACGTCGCGTCTGTTACACTTCACGCATAATTACTAGCACCATGTCACGATTACTACAGACACGCGTTCGATGCATGTAATCAATGCTTCTTGAGAGAAACGACTAAGGAACAAAGCAGGGAATACTCAAGGACTCTTTCCTATAACCCCTTCCTTAGTTCGACCGACATATCTTGATTCGGTATATTTTACCCCTTGGAAGGAAGGTCAGGTCTTTGAGTCCTTCATGCTCTGAGGGCAGAAAATGTCCAGAATGGAGTACCAACAGATATTTTAAAAAAAGCTTGCATCTAATACTAAAACTTGAAGTATATTTTCTACTGCGCATAAATTGCGCTCCAAAGCGGGGAAGACTTAAGCGTGTCAGTTCGTAATTCAAGTTGCGGTGAAAAAATAGATGGTATTGTCACCCGTCCTAGTGCTGCCAATATTGAATCACATGCGTGTTACTTCTTATAGGGCGCGATGTGATACATCTTTTCCTTACGACTTCTGTTACACTTCGCATCCCCGCGGACTCATGAGCTCCATATCGGCACACGTGTTTGACGCCGATAACATCCCAGAAAGCATCGTTGCGGGTTGGACATAAAATATATAGTTTTGAACCTCTCGACATTCTCCTTGCGCTTTCCTCCGTTTGCTCGACTTCACCGAAGCAAAATATAAAAAAAGAGGAAGAAGCAATGTTACTGGGAAGAAGACGATCCCTGCGGCGGAACGCGGTGACCCAGACCGTCTTTCCTCCCTCCTGGCATTTCCATCCATTTAGCCCATCGAGAAGCACCTCGTTTCGATCGTTGAGCCATTGTCCGTCTCTTCCCCTTACCTTCCGGCTGTCCGATACCAGCGTTAGGAGTTCCCATCCGCCCGTCGTCGGACGAAGAACGGATGGATGGATGATGGCGACTCGATCTTCCGAGGTCCCTCACCTTTCTCTCTAGTCCCAGTCTTGAATTTGGAAACGTGCGGAGGTGAGTTAATGCACATCCTAATAAGTTCTAAGCTAAAAAAATTATTCATCAGAAGCTGCTGAACCTTAGGACTCAGCGCTTTCTAGTGAAAAGGTATTTTCTTGTGTGCCTCCCTCATCAGGGAGCTCCTCGGTTAAATTAGATCATCACACACTCATAAATTGATCGATATTTAATCATAATTTTACTAGACCTGACTGTATTTAGTGTCATGTCTTAGTTTTCTTTCATCAGCGATGAGAGAAAGAGACTAGTTTACTTGCTTTGCGGCCTTGCAGGGGCAACCGTCTCCGTTGATTCCCTTAGATCCGAAGTCGATCGTTGGGTTTTAATCCGCACAATCGTGTGAGTTAGGGTATAACGCAAGACGCTAACAACAGCTTAAGGTCGAAGTGCATTATGGGCCATTTGTATTCACTCAAATGGATTTTATGGTTGAGTGGGTGTCCCAATCATAGCGTTTCATCATTCACGCCACTTGACGTTCTGTTTTCACGGGGGAAGGCGAAACGTCAAGTGGTGTGACTCTTTCATTCCATAAGCTAATCTAGAGAAAGAAACAGGACGGCCGATTTCACGAATTTCAGAGGGCTCCCAAAACTCGTGTGCTACAAGAGGGAACGAACGTAAAAACCTCTTCGGAGCGACGAGACCGGGTTTCAAAGTCCCGATCCTGCCTTCCCTTCTTTTTCGACAAAAGTGGGAAGGGTAAGGCAGGAATTATAGAGGCTTGCTCTATCTTTTCTTTGTCGAATCAAGGAGGAAATGATGATCTGCAAGAATACTTTGGCAACAGCATCTCTGAAAACATGAAACACTCCGAAACTCTCTTTTTAGGCAGTGTCTTATAATCGAACGAATCTCCAACTATTTCCCCGTTTGCGATGACGCTTTAATTGCAGGAAAGAAGGGTATCACGAAACAATGATTTAATCTCGAAAAGGAAGAAGAGTCAGGCCCTCTTCCGCTCACGGATGCCTTTGTGCGCTACCGCACATCCCTCCGAATTCGGAAACGAAACGATGAGAGGACACGAAGGCAAATCTAAAACTCACCGAAGACGAATAAAAAAATTGGGCAGAATGACAGAAAATAGACATTTAGAAGGAGCAAAATATGCTCGGATACATCGTTCGTTCTTCCAGTCCGATTTAACCCTGAGGCACTCAGTTCTTACCTTAAACGCATCCACAAGCGTACTGGTACGCTTCTTGTGTCCTTCCGCGTAGCCAATGACCTAAAAAGGCACAGTCTTGTAGGCCATTTGCGGTAGAGGAATGTAGCGGAGGCCTTGGTCATAACGGCCCAGATATGCAACAGCGTATGTTCAGTCAATTCTAGACTACCTTGTATGCGAAAACTATACAGAGTACGTGACCGCAGGGGTCAAATTACAACGTTCTTAGGAATATCAATCGATAATAAATGCATGAGGAAATTTAGCGATGGCTTGGAGAGGTGAAAAACTAAGGAATGAGAAAAAGAGTTTTTACTCCTATAATCGCTTCTATGCGGTAGCAGGCAACGCGGCATTCTCTTGTACATCGTGACGTCATGCGCAGGGAGGGCTCGAAACTCGCTCTGCTGTCGAGCAAACCTGTCTAGTCTAGATCTAGCCGAGATTGAAAACTAATGTACAACATCCTCACTGAAGTGGCTCGTGAAATATTTCGTAGGTTCATAATAGACCTGGCATTACACGTTCTCAATGAGAGTTATCGAGAACCTTGAGATAGATCCACATAAGGCCTAATGAGAAATTCTGGAAGGGGCTCCTCGAACCGGAAAGTTTATTATAGATATAAAGAATCAATGCTTCAGGGACACAAGGTCACCATCCTTAGGTTTATTCAGAGGGGAATGAAAAGTGGCGGGGTCAGATCAAGGAAAGTAAAATTAAATTAAATTAAATTAAGTACGACAGAGTCGAAAGATAGACAGGATGTGAAAAAAAATGAAAAACCAAGGAAACGAGAAATGAAAGCAAGCGACAGTCACAAAGCAAGCACACAGTACAATGAGAAAGCAATGAAAGATGGGTGAGACGTGCAGGGAGGGGAAAGAGGGGGGGGGGGAGGAGATGCAGAAA